AAATAAAACTCAAATTCTCTCGCGAATTGCGCGTATCGGTATAAAGTTCCAAAAGGTCCGCAGGTCGATTTCTATTTCCCTCAATCAGCATTTATCCCTTCCCGTTTGTATCTCGTAATTTGCAACATCTTTATCGCGCGATAACGGGGTTCCACGAGACGACCACAATCCCACAGCGAACGGCGGGGAGTAACAGTCCCGTCGACCATCTCACATTGTCTCCGTTTTCACAGATTCCCTCACAATCCTCCGTCGTTCTTCCGCCCACCGTCGTTATTCCCCGCTTTCCCCACTCACTCTCTCATTCTCTCTCTCTCTCTCTCTCTCTCTCGCTCCGTTCGTTCTGGCGTCGCGACGGAGGAAGGACGGACGTGGCGTGCCGTGCTGTGCCGAACGAGGACCAGCGCAGCACAGAGCAGCTGGAACGTCAGAGTGCCCTCCGACTTCGTCGCGTACACATCCCTCCCTGCTGGAGATCGCGCGGCTACCATCGCGGCGCCGGCGACGTGTTGCGAATCGCGTTACGCGATCGTACGCATATACGCGAGGCGGGAACAAGGCGGTACGGTAACCCATACGTCTCCTCTCTCCATTTATCCGTCTATCGCTCGCCCGGTGGATACGGTTGATGTGATACTGCGACTGTCCGAGAAAGCCCGCTCGCTTTCGCAGTCACGAAGGGGGGTCGAAACGGAAATTGAAAACGACGGTGCAGCAATCCAACCGACGGATCGGAGGGGAGAGAAACTGAACTTCATTCCGCGCGGAATTGCCGGAGCTCGCCTTCGAGTTTCTCTCGATTACATCGCCACGGTATTTCTATCCCGTATCTCCGGGAATTATCTCCGAAGAACCGTCGGCGGAAACGTCCGGTTTGATTATTGGGGATTTTACTACGAGGGTCCGGCGAGGGGACACCCTCCGGAAAAACTATCCTCTTTCCAGGATCTCATCCACGGGAGAAGCTCCGCGCAATCGTTCGTAGGGTTTCGAAGCTATCGCTACATGTCAACGGCGACCCTTGTCGCGTCGCTCGATATAATCGTTCGACAGGTGAAGGAGGAATCTCCGGTGAAGTGACACAACACACTTTAGGGGTTTTCTCAAATAAAGAGCCGAAGATTTTCACGCATACAGTCGAGAAACAGTCGTCGACTTAGGATGGACATCTGGAAGAAGCGACGCTCGTAAAGTTTTCGGTGTTGGTTCGCCACGTACTCCTCTGATACTCCGATTTTCCCTGTAAGCCGCGGGCGAGTCTGAAGAAAACTGAAGTGCTTGGAAGCGGTGAGAGATCGCGAGAGATCGAGCACGATGCGCTGAAGGAGCGTTGATTATCGCGGGTCAAAAGCGGGGCGGCCTATAGGCGCGCTGGACATTAAGTTAAATCGCTTCGGCATCGAGAACGGGACGGGCAGCTAGTGTAATAGTGATAAGGCGCAGGCAAGTGAGCGAGAGAGAGCGAGAGAGAGAATTGGACAGAGCGGAATCGCGTGACCTGGTCAACTCGGCGATCACGACTGTGATATCGCTATGCCGCGAAGAAGCGTTTTACATTTTCAATAAAAAGAAAGGAGCATAAGGACTGAAGCATAACGTGACTCACGAGAAGAGAAGAGAATAATACTCGAGTCACTTTGAAATATCATTCGACGGGGGCGATGAAAGAATACGAAAGTGAGGAGCACCCGTAGAAATCTCTTTTGAAACGCATTACGGGATCGATGATAACGGTGATAGAATTGAACAGATGTAACTGAAGCACTCGCGTGAAAGGGCAACGTACATACGCGCGCGTAAGTAGAGACGTCCAAATCGGTAGGAAAAAGTGAGAGCTCTGACGTCCGTGCGGTGCGGAAGCCGTTGTTTAATTGCCCGTCGTAAGTGGGCTTTGTAAGGCTCGCGGTTAATTAGTTCGGGATCTAACGTGAACACGATGAAGTGGTGCGTGTTGGTGTTGGTATTCGCCGGTCTGACTAGGGGCGATAATGCCATCGATACGAAGATCTTCAATTGTCCAGAACTCAATGCTCAAGATGAAATGGACCTCGACAAGGTACGTGCGCTGCCATTCTCACTGCTCGCTATCGTTTCGCAAACACGGTAGAAATAACAGAGTGCGGGGTGAAAATAAGTATTTGCGCGCCCCGTCTCCCGCTTGGGATAATTTTACAGGAAGAAATACATTACACCGCGTGAAATGGCTCCATCAGAGTACGTTGTTTCAATTTGTACATTGAAAATAGAGCACGCCGCGCGGCAAAATGCTTCTTCTTTACGTAAAATTATCCCGGGGAGGACGGTGTGCGAATACCTTCTGATTCTTTGTAATTTTTAATATTCTCCTGCAGTACAGTTATATAATTACAGGCTTTTTTCTCTTCTACGGGTCTGTTGTAAATTTAACTTATCCTCGACACTTGTCAGAGATACGCAGCGTTTGGAGAACGCGCGAGGGCACGAAAAAAGATGATAATTACGGAAGATCCGTGTTTTCTTTGCGACATGTAATAACATTAGTCCGGTTGTTACAGATACATAATATGGCGTTCGAATAAAATGTCTCGGCAACGGAATAATATATCAGACTTTTAATATGTTCGCCGTCACGAGCATTACCCGATGCCCGCCGATAATTCACCGGTGCGTCATAAGCATCACTCGTGGCGGCCAGGCATGCATTTGCCTTAATATAACTTTCGCCGCAAATATCGGACAAGAAAAATGTCGTTGTACGAACGCGCCATTACTTTCGCGATATTAGACACGCGTGTAATTGAAATTTGTCAACGTGATTTCACGTACTGCTGCGCGACACATTGATTTCACATTAATTAATTATTTTGTTTAATTTTCACCTCTCATTAAATAAGGATAAACTCTATTAATATTATATCGCCGTGCCAATTTGCCCTAGTCTGACACGTGCGTTTCATGCATGATTAAACGCGTCATAAATGTGACTAAATTATTCATAAACATTATATTGGCCGCTCGTGAGAATTTAAACTGTGTAATCGAAAATGCGAAAATAAGCCCCTTTTAATCAATCATCAGAAAATACAGAAAACTTGAAACCACAGTTTGCAATAAATCGGATACGCCGATCCAAATATATCGGGCCTGATAAATGTAGTGTTAATAATAAACAAGTGAAAATACCGTACATGATACACAATCAGATTACAAGGGAAACGTTGTAATCGGACAGGACTGGATCCTGATTGCCTATAATAATATTTTAATTATGTGAATGTGCCATTCTAGCTTTGGTTAGGACTGCGTTATGTCCGAAAGTAACGGCGCGTGGTTTGCCAAGGCGAGGAATTGCACTTAAAATTCAAAAATATTATTATAGACAATCAAGATCCAGTCCTGACCGCGCGATTACGGTGTTTCCCTTGTAATTTGATTGTGTAATATTAATAATGGGAGTATCGTTTTTAAAGTAACATTTGTTCTATCAGTGAAAAAATAATAACCGTAATATATAAACGAAGGAAGAAAACAAAAGAGTCGTCGAAAAAAAGACTCGTTAAACTCAGTGATATTTAGCTTCAAACGGGAACCTTTGTGTTACATTCAAGCGTATGTACAGAGCCCAACCCAATTTGCTTTGGCTACAGATTTTACATCTAAACTAAAAGAGGCGGGAAGAACGATGTTCGTTTTAACGTCAAAGCATCGATATTTATCGTACAAGCGAACGAAAATTAAGAACACAGGTGAATTAAGTTTTCAAAGCATAATAAACGTGTTTCACATTTAAAAGTTTAAATGTGGTTTTTATATAGCTAACAGATTTTTTAATCTGATCAGTCGAGTCTTTGTTCGTTAAATATGCATTTTAAAGACATTCTAAAAAGAAAATCGGAAAACGCTAATCTTGTTACCGTATCGTTCGTATGCGTGATGTATATGTTCGCGCACTGTATATATGCATGTACGTGCAACATGGCACGTCCATTGATTAAACCAGATTTAACAGGCGCTGTGTGTCATGGCCTCAAAAAGCAGGTCAACCATTTCTTCCTTAACGAAAAAAACTACCGAAATTTATTTCACCAGTTAATGGACGTATGCAAATTTGCATTTTTGTAGTACACGAAATGCCACTTTTAGCTCAAAAAGTTGCGCAACTATTTTTGAACTAATAAAAGCGACTTACGTGATTAAACAGACCGAAATTCGCGAGCGCGAACTAACGAGTTCCTAATACCACGAAATCACGACGGACGTAAAAATAATAGTTTTTTTAAATCACCTTTTTTTTCAGCGCGGTGTATACAGCTGTATACAATTGGTGTTACAATTGAACGGTACAATCGTTATGGACGAACCGCATAATGGTTCGCAGTTGGGCGCAGCTTAAAGTATCGTTAATTCAAAACAATTACGAGTTCCCGGCACGCTGCCTCTATGAAGTTGTCGAGCCGCTCCGGCTTATGTAGTTACATACGGAGTGCATTAAGTGCCGGTCATAATTTATAAACGAGCGCGTCCAAGACTTGTAATTCCAATCCCACGAGATTAGCCGTACACGTAATAAATGAGCCACTTTTTACCGCGCGCATAATTCTCTGATGCAGCGATACGCAGCGAGAACACGTCGCTACAACGCCACTAAGAAAAAAAATGTTAAATATACGTCATGCCAGCCGATCAGCTCGAATACAAGATTATCAAGTTGAGAAGTACTCAAATTCGAATTATTACGAGTATTTCTATTTGATGGAACTATGCAATTCGTTGGTCGAAATACCAATGTCTCGTAATATTCGACATGTATGGATCTCGATACATCAGATTCTTTTTGGGCACACGATGCGTGAAATTATTAAAGTCGCGCTGACTTAGAACATCACGCAGGGTGCATTAAGTGGTCGTTATGAATTAAATCGTCGTGTTCAAGAGCCGTTATTTCAATGGAACAAGGTTACCCGTACGCTAATGTGGCTAGGTGCTGCGCTTTCTGAGTATTCGATACAACAGCGGCGATCAATAATAAAGCACATATAATTCTAACACATGTTAAACGTTTATCTAAGAAAATAGATTATAATTTTAGTTAAAATATTCTTAATTGTGCATATATTTTATTTATATACTTAAGTTTATTGAACCTTTCCGTGCAAAAATCGCTTGGATTATTTTTAGAATCTTAAATAGTTGATTCTGCAACGTCAGAAACTTTAATAAAATGTTCTTATGATTTAAATTTAATGAGTTAGAACTTTATTTTCTCATCAGTGCCACGCCAAAGCTAATTACTGAATTTTCTTGGAAATTTGTATACCAAAGTGATATTAAGTTGATTATCTCTACATTATTGGACTTAATTTCTTAGGAATGCTTTGACATTGGACGATATTTTTATCCACATACGAAGCTTAAATTAAATAAGTTTGACTTAATTTTTTAACGAATTCCACTAAACTCCGTAAATTATTTACGTAAGCATAAATAAAGTCATAGTCAAACTTAAAAGAACGTCTGCAAAGAATAATGTATTTAGCTCTTGTTTTAAAAGATATAAGGGCTCGTATTCTGAACGCACTTTTTTCGATAAATGCGTGCATTTAGAATGTGGGCCAAAGTGTTCATATAAAATTGCAGCAATTTTTTTCACACTTTTTAACCTTTTTTCTGTAGCAATTATATCGACACGAATTTATTTTATTTCGTTGTTGCGTGCTACCAATTTTCAAACAAACGTGATTGTGAGTTCAATTACTTTGGTTGGTTCCCTTCCCTTGATACCACGGTTACAACCGTGCTTGATACAAATGAAAGAGAGAGAGAAAGAGAATGAAGCAAGCGGCAATTGCGGAGATGTATCTTGAATGTGTATAATATACACATTCATGGATGGAACCTTAACAGAATTTTCCTCCCTGCGTATTTCATAAACTATTTTATCAACTTCGTTTCAATGCAGCGTCGAGTTAACGTCCAAAAGGTTATCCTTTCCTACATCTTTTTCCACATCCTCCACACGAACTGGACTTACGTTATATCATGATATACTATCAAGGCCCCCATCGTGCAGCGAGCTTTCGAGATTTCTCTCTTCGTCCTTCAACCAGGGCTCCTACATGAACTGCGTCCTACAGCCGTGCAATGAGCCAAGAAAAGAAGTCCAAATCTATAGGAGTAGAAAAATAATATCTATATTTGAGAAAAGCGGAAGGATGTAGAGAGAGAGAGAGAGAGAGAGGGAGAAAAAGAAAGAAAGAGAGAAGGTTCGCGGAAAAACATTGGAATAGTTTCGAGTGGGTCGTGTTTTATAGCCAAATAAATCACATTTTTGTTTCTTTAATCTATGGCAGGAAGCCAATAGTTGCTATAAAGATAAAAATCAATGGTCAGGCGATAAGAAAGGATTGATACAATTATAAATCAAAACTTTAGAATTCTATATAAATACCTCTTTCATTTTATAATATAAATAAAATGCTCGTCAATTCGCGGATTTACGAAAACGTATAATTTCCATCGCGAACAATTAACTCTAATTGTAAGTACCTGTTTTTAGATTTAGAAGATCGTTTGTCAGTATATATTTTCAGAAAAAGAAGCGTCTAATGATTCTTTCCGTGAAACGTAATTCGTTATTATCGCGGAGTTGCGCCTGTATTTCGGGGCAGCCGCTCTATAGAAAATAGCATGAAATAAGCTGTTCCTGTAAATGGTTCGTCTGTCACGCGTTGAGAGCGAGCGAAACGGCAAACTGCATCTGCGGCGCTTTCATCTGCAACCGCATCGTAACGGCGAACGCAAAATCGCTGCCACGGCAGGCGTTATCTTGTAAAAAAAAAAAGAAAAAAAAAAGAAGGAACTTTCTTCCGCGCTTTCCGTTGAAAAGGCTTTCGGTGTAAGTTTTCGCGGCAGACAATAAACCACGGCCATTTTTCATTGTGCCGTTTGTATGGCGCATTGAGAGAAGGGTATTCACCGACGACATCGAAATTTATTTCCGGATTTATTCTTTAAACTTTTCGCATCAGTAATTAGCGTGGCTTAGAATTTATTGCGCAAGTAGCATCAGGTGTTTGC